TTCTTTTTTTATGCACATACTGAACCTATAAGCCGATGCAGTAACCCTTTCAGACCGAACGGTGGCGTTCATCATGTACAGATACAGTTTATTGAAGCCGTTAACGCAGAAGAAGAAAAACGTACACAACAGAGATGGCGTCACCCGGCGAGGCATCGGTGAATGAGACACACGTGGGTAAAAAGAAGAAGGTAAATATAGATAAATAATTTCTAGAAGCACATCGTCGCAGCCGTTTGAAGCTTTTGGTGACTGCAGCTGAGGAACGCAGTTTTATAACTAATAAACAGTAAACGTAAGGTAGTTTTTTCTTGCTAGCGTCAAGCGGCTAATGTGAGTAGCCCCACACGGGGGCGAAGACCAGTGTAAAAAGTTTCTGGGCTTAAATAACAAAATACGTTATAGTCACTTCTTCTAACTTGCCACTGTTCGCTCCTATCTTACAGCTGCCTGCTCGGTACTGGCAGGAGCTCCAGGAGGAGGAACGGAAGGATGAAAACAAAGTTAAAAAAGACGGAGAACAGAGCAAAGAGGCTCTGCAGCAGGAGGAGGACAAGACACAGAAGGCAAAGAAGCGAAAACAAGACCAAAGTCCAAGTGATGGAGAGAAAGTCAAGCCAGAGGTAAGAGTACACGAATTACTGTTGACAGACAAAAATCACGCCATCATTTCTTGCTCTTGCTTAAACTGTTTAGTGAGGTCCTGTGTTGCACTAGAATATGTTTATGATGCAGTTTGGGCTACCCTTATTTGCACTAAACAGCCTATGCATTGCCTTTGTACTGCTATTACACTGCAAAATCTTCCAAATATCCCCCAAAAAGCAGATTATTATGTAGACAAAGGTAGCCAGGCATGCCTAATCTCCCATGATGATTCATGAGCGTTGTACTGAATCTTTTAGCAGTAATATTTAAGTTTGAAGCACCACTTACGACCAGAAGAAGATAGCATTTAATGTTTACCATGATTCAGTCTGCTTTTACATTTTAGTATAGGTAATATAGGACTGTATATTACATATTGTTCTAACTAATGTTCATATTCTTTCAGAAGTCTGATCCATTCCCAGGCCCTGCTCCTATCCCAGAAGACAGATTGCAAAAATTCAAGAGGAAAGATAAACTTAAAAAGGTAAGCATCTGAGTGGCTCTTCTTTAAAATAGTATGCTCTTTTTTTCAGCGCTTGTCTTTCATCTGATTTCTCTTTCGTTTTGTAATAGCCTCACCGTAAGCAACACAAGCTGAGAGATATCATAGCTCGCTCAGAAGATGCTTCAGAAATGGCCCAGAAACAAGCAGCACGGTTTGACCTTCTCCTCCCGGAGGAGGCAGGGTAATGTCTTTTAAATGATGCTCACCTCTTTGTGTTAGATTGTACTCTGTGTTAGATATCATGTGATTTAAAAACACATGAGTGATGTTTGTCCCTGATCTCAGGTTTTTAGAAGGAGATGAAGATGAGGACACGTGTATGATCTCACAGGAGGATATTGCGGAGGCTGTGGACATAACATCTGGAGCAAAGGTACTGAGACCTTTTTATCAAATAAATGTTTGTTTGTTTGACAGGTTGTTTGTTTTAACAAATTGTACCTGAAGTGTGCACTGAAGTTGGTTAAGAAAATAATGGAAACTGATACCTGTCACC